GAACCCTAAACCCCAACCCCACTTTAACTAAAATGGCAAGTGCCCGAGGATCCTTTTATAAGCATTAAGGCTCCTCAACTGAGCCCGAAACCCTTGAAACCCTTCCCTAAACCCTGAACCCCTGAACCCCTGAACCCTGAGCCGCCGTAGCCTGGAGCCCTTGGCACCCTGCTGCAACCAACCAAGCCGGCTGAATGTAGCAGAGTTGTAGCTACACCCTGATTATTGAGCCTTATAAGGATTTTAAACATATCTAAGATAGGGGCCTTAATATTCTTGATCGGGCTTGGGGGTATCTTGCATCTACTCTATTTAACAAGTCGTAAGGAACCCCGAAAGGTAATATGAAGGCTCTGATCATACTAGTATCAGGGTTGCCCATTCGGAAGGCCATCGGGCGCTGAAGGATTGTTAGGGAGGCGCCTTTGGCCGCCTTTCTTGCTGTCTCAAGCAGCATTGTATGGAAAAGAGCCAGGCCCGGTTAGGGTTTAGGAGTTAGGGTCTAGGGCTTTGGGTTTGGGTTTAGGCCGCTTGTGGGTCAACAAGAGCCTTGGGGATTTAGGTTCATTTAGGGTGTTAGGTTAGGGGCTTAGGCAACTACCGGTGCCTCCACATTTAAGTTGGGCTATAAGGCAACTATACTTATGGCCGTACTAGGGGACTTATAATCCCGCTTATAGCTAACCATGAACCTCCAAGTACGGGCTTGGGGATTCAAGGCTTCAGGCTTTGCCGATTCTGTAGGTCAGGGTGTAATGAGGGTTTAACAAGAGGGTCCAGATATACTACTATTATGGAATCCGGCTCCTCAAACCATAATGGGGATGGTCTTATGGGATCTAAGTCCATGAATTGTAGTATATGTACCCTCAGGGAAATTTAGGGACCATGTGACGAGCTTCAATCGAGTGGGCCTGAATTCGAGTGAGTCTCGCAAACACTGCGCTATATAGTGATGGCGCCGTCCGTCAGTCAGTCAAAGCTCTCTGAATTTGACAACATATATACCCTAAACCCTAAACCCTGCACCCTAAACCCTAAACCCTGCACCCTAAACCCTAAGCCCTGCACCCTAAACCCTAAACCCTAAACCCTGCACCCTAAACCCTAAACCCTGCACCCCAAACCCTAAACCCTGAACCCTAAACCCTGCACCCTAAACCCTGCACCCTAAACCCTGCACCCTAAACCCTAAACCCTGCACCCTAAACCCTGAACCCTGCACCCTAAACCCTGAACCCTGCACCCTAAACCCTAAACCCTGCACCCTAAACCCTGAACCCTAAACCCTGCACCCTAAACCCTAAACTCAAGGCATAGGCCGCCCACCTACTGTGGGTGGGCGGCGCTTAAGCCCCTCGACTTCGATGGCGCAGAGCGACCCAAGACGGCTGCCCGCCTCTCCACAGCCATGGGGACGGCAGCGCCCGCGGCTTGCCCGGTACCGGAACACGTTCTCCTCGGGACCAGTACTGGTCCCTTAATAAAGTCATTACCCTAAACCCTGTGGTCGATGCCCTTTTGCCTCCTCGAAAATGCCCCCAGAAAGGGACCCCCCCCGGGGGGCCTGGGGCCTCCAGCGAGCAGAGTTCAAGGACCTAGGGCCTCCAGAGCCGGTCCTAGGGGGCTCTGGGCAAAAAATTGCTAAAATTTGGCTTGGGGCTTTGTTTTCCCCCTGACCCCTGGCCCCCCTGGCCGCCCCTGGCCTGCCCCTCCCCCTGCCGCCCTGCCCTGCCCTGCCCTGGCTGCCCTACCGCCTGCCCTGCTGTCTGCCCTGCCCTGCCCTGCTGTGCTGCTGCCCTGCCCTACCCTACCCTACCCTGCCGCCCTGCCCTGCCCTGCCCTGCCCTGCCCTGCCCTGCCCTGCCCTGCCCTGCCCTGCCCTGCCCTGCCCTGCCCTGCCCTGCCCTGCCCTGCCCTGCCCTGCCCTGCCTCAGAAGTTTGATGGTCAGAAGAGGGAAGATTGAGGCCAAGAGGGACCTAACTGAGTTTAGGTCTAAACCCTAAAAGGAATTGGTTTGGGTGGCTTGGCCGCCTCATACGGTGTGGGGTGGGATAGGAAGAAAGGAAAAGCCTTCCATGATCAGGCTTTCGCAGCTACTCGCAGTAGTACAACGCACTTGACACGACCTTGTCGCAAATTACTTTCGCCTACGCGCTACTCTACGGCAAACCCTGAACCCTAAACCCTGCACCCTAAACCCTGAACCCTGAACCCTAAACCCTGAACCCTAAACCCTTAACCCTGAACCCTAAACCCTGCACCCTAAACCCTGCACCCTAAACCCTGAACCCTAAACCCTGAACCCTGAATCATGAAAGCCAGGCCCCCGAGACCGAGGTTATACTGGTTTGGGGCTTCAGCGCTCTGCAAGGCGGAGCTGGGGCGACTCTTGTCCTGGGTTCTCTTGTTCATGGTTGGGGTAGGATGAAACATGTATTAGGGTTCGGGTTAGGGTTAGGGTTAGGATGAAACATGTACATGTTTATTCCTTATTGGGTTTAAGTAGCCATGAAAGTGCAAAAGGCCAACTATGACAAAGTTCCGGGTCGGGTGAACTACCTTGTTGCAATGGGGATTGGCCGAAGGATTAAGGTTGAGAGGTTTAGGGACATACCCCAAATCCTGCACCTTGATTTCACGGTAGTTGGGATTAGACCGGCTACCTTGGCATCAGACCCTCACGGACAAACATGCTTCATACCAGAACGAGAGCCAAAAAGGGTCAAGTGACTATACCTCGGTGAAGCTTTCAACAGCTGTATCCTTGTACCCTACAAAGGTAGGCCCGGCAGACCCACTCTACAAGTCGTGTTCGTAGGGATGATGGACGGCTGTGGGTGTAAAGTTTTGAGAGTAACCCTAAAGCCTAAAACCTAAACCCTAAACCCTAAAACTTAAACCAACAAAAACACCCTATACCGGCAGTTGAGGGTTTGGGCAGATCCTGAGATCCTCCGGACGGCCCCTTTTGGAAAATGAAGCCTCGCTTCGAGGGTCTAGGTCTCGTCCTTGCCAGGCCATGGGTCGTCGCTGCAGATTTCTGGGGCCCTACAACCGACGTGCTTAGGTTTAGGGTTTAGGGTTGAGGCATGTCATAACAGTCATAACATACTATCATGTGCTATAGTGGTGTACTATAGCATCCTATACTATACCATAGTAGTGTGCTATAGCATACTATAATATACTATAGTATACAATGGTATATTCTCCCAGCTTAGAGGCGCTAACTTGTTGACATCACCTTCCTCGACCCTTCGTCCCTTTGTAGTTGTTGCTTCTTCCATCGTCTTGACTCTCACGGCCCTGTGTCAAACCCCTGATCCAATACAGTGCAGTTAGAAGGCACTAGAAGACTTCACAAGTTTAGGGCTTGAGGTGTAGGATTTAGGGCGTTAGGGGTTTCGCATGTGGAAGGTAAACGACCATGATGCAGATGCGGGATCTCTTGTCTGCTGTTGGGGCGCCTGCTCCGTGGCTCATGCTCTTTGGCATCCAGGCTTGCTGTAGAAACCCCAAAAGCCCACCAGGCCAGACCTAGTTCTGGTGGGTTCTTAGGGTTCCTGACTGTAAATCTTTTCTGATATACCCCAAAGCACTACTCTGATTCTCAAAGCCCTGATGGGAAGCGTTCAACATCGCCGGACTTCCTGATTCCTCATTAAGTATTAGGAGACGCGGATGTCTCTTCGGATGTCGATGTGGGCCCTCTGAAACGACCAGACCCTCCGCTGCTGCCACAGCCGTCCCTTCGAACCTGCACGCATTGCTTCGAGCTTCCTTGCTGACCTGAAGCATTTACCATGTCGATGGCTGTGAAAACTGATTGGCATCATGTTCCTCATCCTGCAATTCAAGCCCCGTTGACGATTGTCTTTGTTTGTTTAACCCCTTGGGCTTGTATGCAAACCAAAACGAAACATATGACTCCTAAGGGTCCTAAGGAACACACAGCATCATCACACAATAATCATATCAAAATTCTGGTCTTCACAGCAACAGAACTTCGTCTCGAGCTGTACAAGCACGTGATCTCGACCTTCATCTCCGTTCTCCTCCAATAATCACTACGAAGGTCATAAACATCGTCGTGATGGCTATGACTTGTGGCATGACACCGGAGCCATCATCATTGACAGTGATTTCAATGCAGGTGCTATTGCTGTGACTTCTGGGACTAACGTGACTAGCATTGCTCTGTGTGTGTGTGTGCGCGTATTGGTACATGTTACATTCGCGATGCTGCTGTTGCTGCTGCTGCTGCTGCTGCTGCTGCCGCCGCTGCTGCTGCTGCTGTTGTGAACACTATGGCACCAGCCTTGTCAATATCAGAAGCGCGAAAAAGAGGAGGAGCAGCAGCAGGAGGAGGAGGAGGAGTAGTGGTAGCCAGTAGTAGTTGTAGCAGTAGTTGTTGTAGAGTCTAGCCATGTTCCTGGTCAGGTCAGGATCGCCCCAAGGAGCTGTTCCTAAAGGCCGCAAGACAACATGAGCAGAATCTCGCATTTTGTGACCCTCCTGGCCCAACCGAAACTAAAACCCTGAAACCCTGAGCCCTAATTCAACCCCAAATCCTAGCTTCCAAACAGGATCCTTCTGCTCACGCCGTCTTGTTGCGGCCCCAGCTCAGGACGCACAGGGCTGATATAGGGGCCCTAGCATTTAGAAAGGGCCTTGGGGCCCCTTATAGTAACCCTGCTATAAATCCCGTATAGTATCCCCTTTAAGGAACCCTTTAAAGGAACCCTATGGTAATCATTTAGGCCCCTAATATAATCCCAAATCCCTTATAGAACCCTCATAACATCCCGTTTAAGGAACCCTCCCTTTAAAGGAACCCCTCAAATAGTAGTTCTCGGTAATTATTTAGGCCCCTATATACTACACCCCCCATAATAGCCCATATATAGTAACCCTAACAGGACCCTTAAGAACCCTTTAAAGAAATCCCTATTCTCATTTAGGCCCCTATACTACAAGGCTATTGCCGCCTGACCGCTCAGGCGACGACTCTACCCGCTTGGTCTCGCCACACCTCGACTTGGTTATGATAGAAGCTAGGATGTAGGGTTTAGGTTAGGGTTTAAGATTTAGGATCGTTTCAGGGGGTTTTGGGACTAAATTACTGGATTTAGGGAATTTTGGACTTAGGATCGTTTCGGGGGCTATATAGTAGAAGCCAGAAAGCTGGAACATGCATGGCTTTGGGAGGATTGGTGCTAGGATCCCTTGTACTTTGCCTTCAGGGCATGAGGATGGCGATGTTCCAACTTTCTGGCGTTTACTAGAACTACTAGAAGGGCCGTAAACTCAGACCTTCCAAAACCACGGCAATTAGGGAATATACCTTCACTTATTTTGGGATCCTATCATGACTTAAGGTATATTCCTTTAGTTAAAGGATTTTGGAAGGGATCGAAGAAATTATATAGCTTGACAAGGATTTGTGTAGGCGGCTTTCCTGTGTTTTTCATAAGTGTTTTAGCAAGGTCAAGCTGCATGATTTCTAAGGCTAATTCAGGATGTATAAAGGTGATGACAGAAGTGTTCTGGGGCTGAATATATGTAAGGGTATTAAAGATGTTTTAGTAGTTGTCTTATACTCTCTTCTTGAAGAGCCGGGTCGCACAAAACTCAACCTTTCTAAGATCGACCAACCATGCAAGGCCAAAAAGCTTAACGTTGTCCCGCTGGCTATCTAAGTATATCATGTTTTTCGGCCACACCATCGAATCGACGAGCTGTGCTGGCTTACGCTTAGTGCTTGAAGCGGTACTTTAAGGCTTAGGGCTTAGGGCTTCTATAAGGGCTCCCAAACCGGATCTACCAGGACTCTATAAGGAATCGGCTTCCTATAAGGGCATCTGCGATGATAGGTTTAAAGGGTTGCCCTTTTCTAGACCAGTAGTTATGCAAATTCTTCTGGTGTAGGTTTCCAGGGTTTCTAGGGTTTTAGGGCTTAGTTTAGGGCTCTCGGGGGTAGGATTAAGGTCTTGGGGCTTGGGTTATTGGGCAAGGGGGCTCTGGTTTAAGCTTTTGGTTTAAGGATCGTGGGTTTAAACACAGTAGCCGATGATTGGGTATTCGGGTTTGGGGTGTATATAACTTGTGGGTTTGGGGTTTAGGGGGGGTTTAGGACAGTAGCAATGTCGGTACCTGTTTTGGCTGCGTACTATGATTATTAGGTTGGGGCCCTTGGTAGTATAACGCTCCCACGTGCTGTTCACGAGCGCCTTTCCAAGGATGTAGCAGGAGGAAGCGTAGTTTTACATGGCAGGTGCAGCACTTTCAGGCTTTGCAACAGTGGGAACTGAAGAAGGTCGACGCACGGAAACCATCAGTATTTTGGTAAGAAATGCGCTGCGGCTTGGGTTTTGGACACATCGAGGTGGTTGAGTAAAGCTGTTCACGGCACAAGCTGCTCACATGTTTTGCTTGCGAGGCACTCACAGTCTGACCCGCTCCTTGTCTTTAGCAGGGTTCAGAAACTCTTCGGGGCCATGGCCCCGCTCATGCACACGGTCCTTTCTGTACAGAGCCAACGCTTTGAGCACGGTCCAGTAGCCAGGCTCCCGTCGAAGACGTTGCGTGGCCAAGACAGCACTGTCGATCATCTTCGGCGAAGTTCGGCCCAAGAGGTTCTGCTTTCTCATGATCCTCTTGACCGCGGAGACCTTGTTGTCGCCGCCGATGACCGTCGCAGTGCGTGCCGTCACCAACGCAGATGGCTGCTTGCGGGTGCTCAACTGCTTCACAAGTTTTTTTGCTTGTCACTGAGCTATATGTCTGGCAGTGGCACTTGGCATTCCAATCTCACTGCTTGCGGCCACCAAAGAGCGAGCGCTGTCATGTGCAGCCAGGCACGTGTCGGCAACGACGTGCTTCTTGTACGCCTTCAGAACCTCCTGCTTGCTTTCGACAGGCGGCGGTGCTCCTGCGGGTAGCCAACGCTTTAATGGATGCTCGGCGGGCATGGAATATGGTCTGATCTGGACGTTATCATGGTTGGCACATGGATGCTCTGCGGGCATGGATATGGTCTGATCTGGACGTTACCATGGTTGGCACATGGATGCTCTGCGAAAACAACGGCAGGCGCCAGGTTTTCGGCTGCAAAATCGAGGAAACACCGTAAATACCGATACTTCAACGCCCGCGCCTCCACTACCCCCCGAAAAACACAACAGGCGCGACGTTTTCGGCTGCAAGGTTCAGGAAACACCGTAAATACCGATGCGGTCGGCGTCTGCGCGGGGCGCGGGAACAGCACGTGGGTGCCTAAAACAAGAAACCCATTGTCCAATCACCCCTAAACCTTCATCCCCAAATCCCACACGGAGCAAGGCACCATCATATCCACCTCCCGCTCGAAGGTGTCAGGATATCTGCGCATCTGAGACTTCCCCTTCCTCAGTCAAGTTTTGGGCTTTGGGGTTGGCAAACAGGGTTTAGGGTCAGGGTTTCAGGTTTAGGGTTTGGAGTTTGGGGGTTTCCGAACAAGGGGGACCCTAATATAGTACCCTGAATAGCAGAACCCCCAAAACAAAGTACCCCTAATTTTCGGAAACCTCCATTTGGCGTTTGGGGTTTAGAACCCTAACAGCAAGCCCGTGTAGAAATCAAGGAATCCCGGCTCAAACCCTCCAGTCAGAAAGCCGCATTGTTCCCTTGAGACAGACCGCAGAGCAAGCCCCGTGAAGCTCTGATTTCAACGAAGGGTCATGATGTCCAAGGTCTTCTTGAGACGGACGAACACATTCTCCTCTCCGTCGGGATCGAAATGGTGGGGTCGATAAAGAAGCCTAGAATCCCCAAAAAAGAGCCTGGAATCCTTAAACAGGAGCCTAGAATCCTTGCAAAAAGAAGCAGAAAAGACGCAGAATTGATTTTGGATATTTAAAGGAAGCCTAGAACCCTTTGAAACAGAGTTGATTTTGGACTCTGACTAGAACCATCTAATTAGCGGAAAACGAAGGGAAAGACCGAGACCCAAAGGATAGTCTTGTGCATCAGCGGGTTATGTATGCACATTGGTCTTGCTGGACACGCAGGTAAATGGGATGCATTAGGCCATTAAGGCGTTTGAGTTGGGTTAAGGCATTAGGGTTTCGCGGGTTTGAGTTTGGGAACTAGCTTGGGGATGTTGGGCCCGCGACGTCTGAATGCCAAAGGCCCCTAAGGCAAAGTCTTGAGTCCTTGTAATTCGTCAAGCCCCTTTAGCAACCCAACTTCTTGCTTGAGGGCCTGAGGGATTTTAGAGTGGTCAATGTACATGTAACATATTTTTCGACCCAGCAGTCACTACAAAGCAACCCCTTCCTGTCCTGGTTACATACTATACAGGTACACGGACCCCAAAAGGCATGAATCCATTGGGTGGAGGCTTCCTGCACGTACGGAACGCCGTACTTTTCGCAGATCTGCTTGAGCTCCGGCTGGCCTTTCCTTGGCGCATCCGGGGCTTCAGAATGCTTTTGGGTTGAACTTTAGGGTTTAGGGTTTAAGGTTTCGGCCTTAACGGTAGGAAATCGCAAATTTCTACCGGGCTTTATGATTTCGGAGAATCCAGAACACTCTACCTTGCACCGGCACCCCGCAACCCATGCCCCGAACCCCAACACCAAGAGGTTAATTGATAACCCCTGAGCCATAACACACCCCATAGAGAATCCTAAAAGATCCATGTCCATGAATCCTTAAAGAAGCCTCTAAGCACACATAAACACAAAAGCCGGAATGTTGGGACATCACAAGAGACTTGTTTAAGCAGGCCACTACACTAGGAGTAGGTGCATTCAAACCAACAGCGGCTAGGTGGTTTCCGTGCACCCAAGCCCTAAACCCCGAACCCTAAACCCCGATGTTCCAAGCCTCGGGGCTTCGGTCCCACTCACTGAAATCGGACCCCAAAACATCCTAAAACCTGCATCAAAACCCGAAAGTAGGCGCCCAAAACCCTAAGCTCGACACCCCAAGAAGCTCCGACATGCACTACTCTAAACCTAAGGAATGCGAAAAAAAACCCTAGAAGTAAAAAGCCCGGAATCTGGTAGGCCAGCATGGAGAGATCTGGCCAGCAGTGGTGCTCAATCCTTGAAATGGAGCTTGCGTGTCGGGCGCGATCAGGGTGGGCTTAGGGTTTCGAAGAGACAGCATTGGGGTTCCTTTAAGGGTCCCTTTAACGGGATCTATAGGGGTTCTATAAGGGTATAGGGTTGCTTACTTGGAGGTTCATGGGTAGTTATATGTGGGGTTAGAAGTAAGGCAACTATACTTATAAGCCCTATTAGGGGACTTACAACCCCCCTAGGATACCCAGTAACCTAAGAATAAAAAGGCCTCTCTTTTGGGTAACTTTATAAGGAACCTAGGACTACAAAAAGGGAATAAGGGTACCACTGGGCATCCTAGCCCCTAATAACCACCCATGAACCTCCCAGGAGGGGCCCATCCTCTTGCGTGTCGGGTGGCACGCGCATTGCAGGGAGACTTCTTTGGGCTTCACAAGATTTAAAGCTGTAAGGACTTCAGGGCATCATACAGGTTAGATAAGGTTTCTTTTGCTACGTGTAGGTGTGTAACAAATTATACTGGGCTTTTGGTGGGTCTGGCTTTCAGAAAGTTGGTTCTAGGGCCTCTAGGGCAGTTAAGAGCATTTTAGGGTGTAGGTGTGTTTGGGGGAAGGATACCACGATCTGGGCAATCTAGGAACCTGCCTTGTAAATGCCCCTGCTGTTGATGGGGCTTCTTAAAGCATGGATCCCAAAACAGTAAGGTTGTATGACCAGGGGCGTCGGTCCAGAGACTCCAAAAACCCCTTAATTAACGAATGCAGCTGTACCTCAATTACACATGGCTGGTTGTCAAAATTTGGGTCCCTTTTGGGGTCCTTACTAGAATGCGGCACCTAATATGTAGGGTACCCAAAGAGGGACCAGAATATTGACAACCACCCATATTAATCAAATTTATACTTTAACCCCGGCATGATTCAAGGTATATTCCTGATTCAAGACGTTTTGGAGCCTCGGCGTTCTCATCCAGATTCATGCCATAGCTCGCCCAAGTACCCTTTCAAATTGCGTTTTTGAAGGGCGGTTCGAGCCAACAGACAAAACATAGAATCTGACGCTGGATACTTCAAAATCCTAAACTCCCTAAGCCCGCATGAGTTTAGGGTTTAGGCTTCAGGAAATCCTGAACCCCTTGACCCTTCAGGCTGCGTGGGTTTGGCTGATATAAACAACTGAAAACGACACTACCAAATGCATGACTATCATCGCTATAATGAGGACAACATCATCTTCAGTCTAGATCATCGGACCGATCACACAAAGATGGGTCGAGTCTAAATGCATAGACCGAATCATGGTTCTAGGAGACCCAATTAACCATATAAGATCTCAACGCATCAGTGAAACAGAGCTCAAACAAAGATCCAAATTCGAAACCCACACTTGTAAATGGGGTTATAAGTCCCCTGAGATGGGCTATACTTGTACTCCCCTTACTATCCACTTGTAACTACCTATGAACTAACCGAAACCCCGAAGTCGATGGCCCGATGGCCATAAACCCTCAGACACGACTAAACGCTACACTTGCAAAAAAGGCTCTGATAGTTCAGCCAGCCGTGCATGAAGTCGTTCAGGTCACCACCTTCCGAGTAACGGTTTAGAGCTTAGGGTTTTTAGGGTTCAGGCTTTGTACCCTAAAAGCCCCAAACCATAACCCTAAGCCAAACCGCAGGGGTTAGTTAGTGCCATTGGCTTACCCAGAGACTCCAAGATCCCTTAATTAATTAAGGAATATACCTTGGCCTTACATTATAGCAGGATCCCAAATACGATATAATTTATATAAGGTACATTCCTAAATTAAGCGATGTTGGAGTCTCTGGGTAACGCACGGCAACTTGGATACTCTTCCACAATAACATGCCGTTTCCCCCGGGAAGGTTTTGAACTCACGGGCTTGGGAGTTTAAGGTTTAGGAATCACGGCCCGGCGGTCTAAGAGAGATACAACGGGCTTTGAGTATTCTACAGCGGAACTACAAGTGTCAACAGCCCTGTGGAATCCCTTTCTTCACTAATTCTGGTCCCTCTAGTTCTCTCGAAATGCCCACATCGGTGGGGTTGTGGTTGATGGACTTCTTTAATGCTTCGAGGACAGCAACAAGTAGATAACCAGCTGCCATTGGGATTGCTTCTGGGGCTAAGTGGGGCTGAGGGCCTACGGGTTTCATACGAGCATTGAGAAGACAAGACCGAACAAGTAGTGTTCCTTACTAAAAGCTATCCGATTCTGCGGAGTGTGAATTCTGTTCAAGACACAACACACATGTTCCTCCACGCTGGACTGGATATGCAACGCATTCACCTGTGGTCTACGCTTTGGGTGCAGGGCAGATGGACTTTAGAGATGACTTATTCTGGGTTAAATAGACCAGCTAGAAGGCTACGACCTGTGTCGAAGTTCACGGAGGCGGTGACTGCGCGCAGGTAGAAGGTGGGGCTCTTCGGTTTGCAGGACCTCGGCAGTGTCAGGCATGAAAGCTTAGTTTAATAGTTGCGAATCCAGTGTAAGCATCTGAAAGCAGAGCTTTTATCTGTGTGGTGCAGGGCTCTCGTTCAAGATGCTCGACGTGCTTACGCCGTAGATGCGCTCTTCCAACAAGAGCACAAGCTCGATCGGAAACCTATGTATGCCCTACTCCTCTAGATGAAAGATCGAGATAGTTGCGGACGCATGAGCTAAGACCTGTCTGTCTTATGGTACGAGTAGTCTAGTGGTGGAGGTAAGGCTGATGGTCGAGTTGCAGTTTCTCGGTTGTTCATGGCTGTCGCTAGGCGTTCGCGATGCTTGTAGTCGTTGTGAAAGTACGAGCAAAAGAAACGTAGTACTAGTACCACGTGCAACTGCCTGCTCCTCATGCTGCGGCTGCCTACTACTACCACGACAGTACTTGGACAACGACGGCTGATAGCATCACTGCCACGGCAATACTTGTGTGGTCATAGCTCACGCGGTGGCTGGCATAATAAAATCTTGCTCAAAGCGAGCAGACACTTAACCATTCTGTGGAAGATGCACATGAACAGAACCACAGACAACAACCTATTCCGAAACACTAAACCAGAATAGTTAGCCTCGACCCCATTCCAAGCATTAGGCCCTCTCCCTGAACCGGAGCAAGTTGCTCAAGAATCACTCAACACATCTGTAAACCCAAAAACCTAAACCCTGCCAACACCGTCATTCGCAAACTTAAACCCCAAGCCTGGGGCATAAGCTCCATGATCCGCCACGAGCGGAGCTTGGTAAGGAGTAGAAGTTTCTCATTCCTAAACCCTGAACCCTAAACCCCTAAACCCCAAACCCCTAAACCCCTAAACCCCTAAACCCTAAATCCCTAAACCCTAAATCCCTAAATCCCTAAATGCCTAAACCCTGGCTTTGGTGGGAGGTCCGGCCTCCTAAACCGGTAGAGATCGTTGCCTGCATGGTTCGTCACAACGACCTCGGTAGGGAGCGCCGTGAACCCTAAACTCTACCTTAACCTACTAAAACCTACTTTTTTGTAGGGTCCCTATAAATTTCATATTCGGGTTTACAGTAGGAACCTACAAAAAACCAGGGTTTGGTAGTTTAAGGTAGATCCTAACTCTAGACCTGAGCCCCGAAACTCTAGACCCCTAAACCTCTAAACCCCCGAAACTCTAAACCCTAAGACTCGCTAAACCCCGGAAACTCTAGACCCTAAACCGCTAAACCCGGAAACTTTAGGTAAGGTCGGGCTTTCGACAGGTTACAGTAGAAGCCAGAAAGTTGGCACAGTGTAATCCTCATGCCCTTAAGGTAAAGTATAGGGTAATCCCAGCACTGACCATCCTAAATCCACGTTCCAACCTTCTGGAGTTGGGAGTTTCCGAAAATAGGCGACCCTAACATAGTATATATGTATATATATATATATATATGCTACCCCCCCCCCATTGACCTACCTTTGTTGGGGGTCTCAGGAGCAATGAGTGGCAATGATGCATGGACAAGGGAGGGCCTATTTTTGTCGCCATTATTTTTTTGCACCTGTGGCGTGTTTGTTATAGATAGTACTAGTACTGGTAATAGTAAAGAGTAATAGAGTAATACAATCATAGACTAATAGACGAATAGACGAATAGACTAATAGACAGAATAAACTAGTAGACTAATAGACTAATAGACTAATAGACGAATAGACGAATAGACTAGACTAATAGACTAATAGACTAATAGACTAATACTAAACTAAACAGACTAAAAGACGAAAAGACTAATAGAGTAATAAAGTAACAAAGCAATAAAGCAATAGAGCAATAGAGCAATAGAGCAATAGCAATAGAGTAATAAAGAAAGAGTACTAGTACAAGAAACAGTGCGCGCGAAGCGCGTGACCCGCAGGCTTTGCTCCATGACTTTATGCATTGGTAATGGTAATAGTAATGGTAATGGTAATAGTGCTGCATAGTAATAGTAAAAGTAATAGTAAGAGTAATAGTAATAGTAATAGTAGAAGTAATAGTAATAGTACTAATAGACGAATAGACGAATAGACTAATCGACTAGTAGACTAATAGACTAATAGACTAAACAAACTACACAGACTAAAAGACGAAAAGACTAATAGAGTAATAAAGTAACAAAGCAATAAAGCAATAAAGCAATAGAGCAATAGAGCAATAGCAATAGAGTAATAAAGAATAGAGTAATAGTACAAGAAACAGTGCGCGCGAAGCGCGTGACCCGCAGGCTTTGCTCCATGACTTTATGCATTGGTAATGGTAATAGTAAGAGTAATGGTAATAGTAATAGTGCTGCATAGTAATAGTAAAGCAGTACCAGTAACAGTAGCAATAGCAGTATTAGTAGTACGAGTAGTAGTAGTAGTAGTAGTAGTAGTAGTAGTAGTAGTAGTAGTAGTAGTAGTAGTAGTAGTAGTAGTAGTAATAGGAGTAGTAGGAGTAGGGGTAGTAGCAGAGTAATAGAGTCATAGAGTCATAGAGGAAATAAAGTAGATAGAGTAATAGAGTACTAAATAGAGTTAGTGGAGTAGTAGAGTAATAGAGTATTAGAGTAATAGAGTAGTAGAGTAATAGAGTAATCGAGTAATCGAGTAATAGAGTAATAGAGTGAGAGTATAAGAGTAATAGGGTCATAGAGTAATAGAGTAATAGAGTATTTGCGTAATAGAGTAATAGAGCAATAGAGTAATAGAATAATAGAGTAATAGAGTAACAGAGTAATAAACTAATAAAGTACTAGAGTAATAGAGTAATAGAGCTTTTGGAGTAAGAGAGTAATAGAGTCATAGGGTAATAGAGTAATGAGTCATAGAGTATAAGAGTATGAGAGTAACAGAGTAACAGGGCCTAGGGCCCCAAACAAACAAAAAAAACATGCAGCAGAAGCAGAAAACTAATGTGGCCAGATATTCTCGGCCCCAAGTTCAAGACTCCAAAAGATTGAGGCTTCTCAGCACTTTGGAACTGTGAGAGCTGCAAAACCTGGAGCGGCCCCAATCTTTTTGAGATTCAAGACTCAAAAAGATTGAGGCATCTCAGCACTTTGGGACTGTGGGAGCTCCAAAACACTGAGAGGCCTCAATTTTTCTGAGGTTCGGGATTCCAAAAGATTGAGGCCTCTCAGTGTTTTGGAATCTGGAAGCTGCAAAACACTGAGAGGCCTCAATTTTCCTGAGGTTCGGGATTCCAAAAGATTGAGGCCTCTCAGTGTTTTGGAATCTGGAAGCTGCAAAACACTGAGAGGCCTCAGTCTTTTTATGATTTTGAAGCCAAAACGCTGGGAGGCCCCAAAAGACTCAAAAGACTCAATCTTTTGGAGGCCTTAGGAAACTAGCCTTAAAATCAATAAGATTGAGGCCTCTCAGTGTTTTGGAATCTGGAAGCTGCAAAACACTGAGAGGCCTCAATTTTTCTGAGGTTCGGGATTCCAAAAGATTGAAGCCTCTCAGTGTTTTGGAATCTGGAAGCTGCAAAACACTGAGAGGCCTCAATTTTTCTGAGGTTCGGGATTCCAAAAGATTGAGGCCTCTCAATGTTTTGGAATCTGGAAGCAGCAAAACACTGAGAGGCCTCAATTTTTCTGAGGTTCGGGATTCCAAAAGATTGAGGCCTCTCAATGTTTTGGAATCTGGAAGCTGCAAAACACTGAGAGGCCTCAATTTTCCTGAGGTTCGGGATTCCAAAAGATTGAGGCCTCTCAGTGTTTTGGAATCTGGAAGCTGCAAAACACTGAGACGCCTCAAGTTTTCTGATTTTGGTTATAGTTTCCCAAGACCTCCAAAAGATTGAGTCTTTTGAGTCTTTTGGGGCCTCCCAGCGTTTTGGCTTCAAAATCATAAAAAGATTGAGGCCTCTCAGTGTTTTGGAATCTGGAAGTTGCAAAACACTGAGAGGCCTCAATTTTTCTGGGGTTCGGGATTCCAAAAGATTGAGGCCTCTCAGTGTTTTGCAGCGCCCAGAGTTCCAAGGTGCTGCGAGGCCTGAATTTTTTTGGCTTTGGATACAGTCTCCCTCGACCTCCGAAAGATTGAGTCTTTTAAGAAACTAGGTCTTTGGGAACGCCGCTCCATTCGGGTACACCCCGCCCCGACCCACCCTTGCCTTTCAAAAAGACCAAAAAGGGTAGGTCAATGGGGGGGGGGTACCATATATATATATATATATATATCCTAAATAGTAGGATCCTTATTATAAGGATCTTAAAATAAGGTACCCCCCAACTTTCGGAAGGTCCCAGTTCACTGTAGGGCGCGAAGACTTGCAGTGAAGGGTCTCCAGGCTTCTTGGGTGTTGGGGCCGTTTTGGCTTGATTGGACTTAAGGTTTAATTTAAACTTCTGGGGGGTTTAGGGTTTAGGGTTTGGGGGTTTAGGGTTTTGTTTAGGGATTTAAGGTTTACATTGGATTTAAGGGTTTTGGGTCTTTAAGCGTTAGGGTTTTAGGGCTTCAGGATGGCAGGGCTCTAGGGATATGGGGCTTTAGGGCTCTAGGTTTAGGGTTCTACGCTTGGCGGACTTCTGAACCCCTCCTAAAAGTTAAACTTTTAGCCTCCTTATTAAAATTATTATAGTTCATATAGAAACCCAAAAAAGTTGAAGTCTAAAGAGCCAACTAGAAGAACGCCAAGTTTAAACTTCTGGGGGGTTTAGGGTTTAGGGTTTGGGGGTTTAGGGTTTTGTTTAGGGATTTAAGGCTCAAAATTCTAGGGGGTTGGCTTGAAATTCTGCGGTTTGGGGTATAAGGTTTAGGGGTTTGGGGGTTAGGGTTTAGGGTTTAGGGTTCTGGGGTTTGGGGGTTTATCTAGGGCTCTGGGATTTGGGGGTTTAGGCTTTAGGGGTTTGGGTTTTGGGTTCTGGGGGTTTTGGGATTTAGGGGTTTCGGATTTACGGTTCAGGGGTTTCGGGGTTAAAGGCGGCTTAGCCTTGGGGCGCTTGCACATTGGCCTTGTCAGCTGACGTCCTGAAGTCTG